CCCAAAAAAAAAATGCCCCCCCCCCCCCCCCCCCCATTTCCACTGAGGATACAAATCTTACAGTGGGCCACAGTTCCCCTTTATCTCACCTCTTTGGGCTTGGTTATACCTGGCCCTGACAGTTCCACCTGGAAGTTCACTAGGAGAATCCGCATGTGGGGACAGCAGGCAGCCTACAGAAACTGCGGGCATCAGGCTCCGTACACACAGCCTAAAGCTTCCATTCCCCAACCCATACTTCTGCAGAGCAGCAGACACTGGCTCTGATTAGAAACCAGTCAGGATCTCATCCTGGTGAGATCCACCACAGTCTTTCAGTGCCCTCCTGTGTCAAAAAGGTCCCACACCAGTCACTGTTACTGTGCCATAGAGCACCAAGCAGCAGTGGGGACCTAGGGCAGGGCATTGTGTGAATTAATCCTGTTCCAAACAATGCAGCACCCAGTGCAGGGAAGCAAGAAGTCATCTTTTGCTCTGTGGACTGGGGCTTGGAGGGAGCTGGGTTGAGTGTTGGGGATCTCCTTGCAGTGCACGTGGTTCTAGTGTTCAAGCCATGATTATGAGTGATTCAAGGAGAGTGAATGCAGAAAGAGAAGGCTCTGGATATAAACTAGAGAGAGCTGCCCAGGCCTTCCGGTGGTATGTTACACCCAGGATGTCCTGGGGGCCTTTTATCCAGAGAAGGACAAGAGAAGCCAAAGCAAGTTCCTCTGATCTAGAGACTGTTTTATTGGGATGTTATCACTCAGGCACCATGACCCAGAGCAGCTACATGACAGCAGAGGATACAGATACACTCACTGCTGGGTGGTGAGGTCGCAGCCCTCAGGATCCGTCTTTGTAGTCTGAGGCAAGTTCCACCCCTCTGCCCCGGTGTGGAGGAGTTTGATACAGTTCAGGTTCAGATGTCTATGTTCCCATCCTTTTCTTTGAGAGAATGATCTCTTGGCCAGTGGAGCAGGGACAGTCATGGCCTGTGACCATTGTTCTTTCCTAGGGTTGCCTTATTAATATGGGGTGTGATCCCTGACCTGTGCATCTCAACTCCCCTGAAACTGTCCCTCACCATCCCCTTTTCTCACATGCCCATGGCTGTGATTCAGGATTCAGCCTGAACAGCTTCTGGGATCAAAAGATCTGGAAGGAGGAAGGTAGTGAAACACCTAGCACAGCCAAAAGGGCTGAGGGGTGTTCATGACTCCCCAACAGCTGCAGAAAACAAAGGGCTCACTCATATCTTCAACTGACAAACATTGGACCATGTCCTGATTGAACTGAAAGGTGGGATTGCTTTGAGCCTGGGGATAGGACACTGGTGCTGACTGTTCTCTGCCTCTTCAGTGCTATTAACAAATGGGTCAAGTGCAGGGGGACTGGAGGGTGAGTTTGTTCCTGTTGAGGAGGGAGCTGCTGTCAACTTTGAGACCACTGAGCACTTGGGAAACGTGCAAAAAAAGCTGTTAAATTGCTGAGGCAGAGGGAAGGGTGAGCGGATGGAGAGCACCTGAATTGACGGGGGCTGGAGCAAGGAGTAAAATCCCATGCAACCAGTGCCTTACTCTGGGCAGCCACTGGAGGGTACTGCTGCTCCTGGGGGCAGCAGTTGCCCCCTCTGCATTGCCCAAATTGCCCACTGGGTGTCACTACTGACCCATACAAGGGGGAAAACCTGTGCACCCTAGAGGGAGTGGTGGAATCATTAAGGAAAGCATTTGCTAAATGACTTGCAATAAAACGCTGAAGTAAAATGGCAGAATGAATGGTTTTCTTTTGAAGCTCTCCTTTTCTCCACATCTCTGAGAAGCTCTGGTACCGCTCATACAGAGCTGTCCTGTTCATTGTCCTGCCTTTACTCCTCACTGTTACAAAGTTAGCTCTTTCCTTGTCCACCTACATTAGGATGGGCTGTACATTAGGTCTTACCACACAGGAAAGAGACCTGGGAGTCACTGTGGACAAATCACTAAAAACATCAGCTCAGGACTCAGCAGCTGTCAAAAGAGCAAACAAAATGTTAGGGATCGTTAAGAATAGAATTGTGAACAAAACAGAAAGTATTGTGATGCTCCTTTATAAATCCATGGTGCGTTCACACCTGAAAAGGCATATAAGAGAACTAGGGAAGGTCCAGAGAAGGGGAACAAGGATGATGAGTGGCCTGGTGGGACTTCTGTATAAGGAGAGAGTAAAGAAGCTACTGAGAGAAAGAGAGAGAGTGGTGGAGGGATGGAGAGATGGATAGAGAAAATGTGGGATAGACAGATGGATAAATAGGCCTATTCAGTTCAGAAAAGAGATGAGAAAGGGGGGACATGAAAAGGGCTTACAAAATACAGGTTTCTGTTGCTTTATGCAGTACACGTGTTCCTGGAAAATGACACACAATTCAAATTTGCATAAAGGGAGCCCACTTTACAGTGTAACAAATAGCAATGTGTTCCAAGAACTCAACTGCACTGACCTCCAGGCCTATTTCTACCACTTTTACAAGACAATTTTGGTATTCACCAACAGCAGACAGTACACACAAGCACAGGGTGGTGCTTTTGCACTGGTCAAAATCTCCAGTTTTGTCTCCAGTGTTAGTAAAGTTCTCTTGCGCTTCATTGATGGACCAGGGAGAAGGGTAGGAGATAAGCTAGCAAGATGCTTAGAAGCCATAATGGGGATGACAACTACAGAAACACATGTCACAGACAATGACTGAGGAGCACAGACCCACACAGGAGACTATATTTTGGTGCACATCACTCCCATAATGCACCGCACAAAGCAGCTGATTGTGGGCTTCCACGACATTGCATAAGAGTGAATTTACCTCTCATATAACGAATTTTGGTATAAAAAGGGACATTGCATAAGAGTGAATTTGCACATACAGAAGCCACATAAAGCGAGGGAAACCTGTACTAAATGGTGAAGAGAAAGTCAATAGGGATACATTACTGACTGTCTCACCAGACAAGAACAAGGGGTCACTACATGAAACTAGTAGGCTTGTCAGTTTAGAACTAACACAAGGAAGTTTTTTCACAAGGAAGTACTAAATGATGGTGTAGTAACAAGGGTGCTGTAGGGGCACATACAGATGTGCCCAGTATGTCATTAAAAGGGGGGAACTTGTTGCCACCAGATGTGGTGGCAGCTGAGAGTTTAGCCAGATTTACCAAGGGATTGGACATGTTTTTGGAGGAAAGGGGTAATAGGAGCTATTGAGCAGGGGAGTGAGGGGCAGGCATAGCCTGAGTCAGGACTTTCTAATCTAGACCTTCTGTGCTGGAGGCTGCAAGTCAGCAAGGACGGGTGGAGATCCCAGTCCAACCCAGATCCACTCCCTTTCGGCATCTGCTCTCTGCCACCATGTGACACAGCAGACTGGGCTAGATGGACCGATGGTCTGACCCTGGTGTGGCAGGCACTGGTGGTGCTGCCATTTTAAGGACAGCAGGGAGGGGCAGGTGCTGGATGAGGAAGGCCATGTTAAGGCCCAGCTCTCTGATCCAAGGGCAGTTCATGATCAGCTAGCAAAGAAGACATATCCCTCTGCTGAGCTCTGCCATGTTCCTGGCAGAGGTAAGGGTGAGACTATGGGGATGGCTTGAAAGCCTCATTGTCTCCTGGGCATGTCCTAAAACCACCCTGCTGGGGCGTGAAGGCCAGGTGAGGCTGCTGGGGGTGCAACAGCCCCAGGTAAATGCCAGGAGTGAG